ATTCCATAATTTCCACTCCAAATTAGTATTCACACACATAAATCTAATATCTAAATATTTTGAGGGGAGTAAACAGCACTTACATGGGGTTTATTTTATCGCCTGCAGCATTATGACATGGCACCTATATTAGTTATTATCTGAGCTCAAATTAACAACTGAACAAGGTAAAAATGCCTGTCTAACTGGTGTCCGTGATTCTGGTAAACTGCATCTTCAATCTGAAGCCTGATGATGTACGGATGCTCGCAGAATTGTCTGGTATAAAGGGACCACTTTGAACACCGCACTGCCAGTTGATCTAGTATGGCGAGAGTCGCCTTCCTTCCCGAAAGTCGCGCATGCGCATAGCTCCCAGTAGGGGCCCGAGCATAAATTATATTTATTTATTAAAGCTAAATACGGCAGGAAGCGTTTATAAATATTGTTCATGTGGTGATGTTTGATTCTCACAGTTACTATTTACTAGAACAATCAAGCTGGGTAAAGGAATTCCAGTAAACTTGTATACTAAATAAAGTAAACCTATTACTAAATAATTATCCCTGACAAAGGAAAGTAAATGGTTGAACTTCTATTAGATGTACAGATATGTGGAAATTTATTCTCCGTGGGTGGCTGACGCAACACTGCACAATTCTAGGAGAAATTACATGATGTTCCACATCCTAATGGAATGAATTATATGATACTAAACTACGAATTAGTAGTGTTAGTTAATTATTACGCTTAGTACAGGAAATACATCCCATTGTACTAAGGATTAGTAAATGAGTATGAAGTCTAATACAGGAAATATATCCTATTGTATTAGGGATGAGAATAACTGTTGGAAATTTCCAACAATCCAGCAAAATTAGTAAAGAAGTGTGCAGGAGCACAAGACTCAGAAATAACAGATGAAATGTCAGCCCATTAAACATCACACTCCGTCAGCCGCCCACCAAGCCCCCCCTCATGCCGACAATGGGCTAGACATTGAGGGGAAAAGGTGTGAAAAATATGAAGGGCTCGAGAGTGTGAAGATCAGATAGGTTGGAGGAGGAGCGTAGAGGGTGAAAAAGATTCCAGCCACCTTATTACACCTCCACCAAAAGAAGGTGAGGGGGAGGGGGAAAAAAGAAGGTTACGAGGATGGGGAAAATGGTCACTTATGGAGGTCATCAAGGATCTTCCTCGACAGGTTTGTATAAATGGAGGATTAACAGAGAGAAAGATCAATACAGGTCAAGTGTGAGAGTGCACAAGTCAACACGAGTTGTATCGCCGGAATTCAAGAGAGAGAATGGTGAAGAGTAGATGAAAGGTTCGAGAACACAGCCCGAGGTATTCGTCAGTGTATCACCCCCAGACGGCTTGTTAACAGTTAAAAATCACCTTGAAGGGTATAGTCTCCAGTAACGAGTCCTAGAGGTAGCCAAAACTGGGAAGAGAAAGAGTAACATGCGGGGAGGAAAGTAGGAAACACGGAACAGATGGAACAGACAGTAAACTGTTTACTTATAAAGATACGAGCGGTAGAGGAATGAATATTAAACTTCCGGATCAAGAAAGCAGTAGAGCTAGGGGTCTCAGCAAAAGCTGGACGAGTGGAAAGAATGGCATAACCACGGAAGTAACCAGGACGAGCGCCAAGCATCGGCTATTGTTCATCACACTGAAATGTGTCAGACAAAAGTGTGTATGGGGCAATTAACATCAGCAGACTAACAGACGTTGTCACAGCTCGAATAAGACTTGCCAGCAAGTATATGTAGGAGTTCGGCTTGAATAGGGATCTAGATGAAGTAAAGTGTGTGGACAAAGACAGGGAGACATAGCATTATATCTTGCTCTATAATAAAATTAATAAAAATCTATTATAAAGTGAGCCATTTAGAAAAATCTAAACTCACTATGAAACGGTAAATCATCTTATTACTGAGGATAAAATAACTGAAATCCTTGAACTGTATCCATAATTTCGCTTCCAGTAGATAAAAGACATATTAGATTAAGAAGCAAGTTTTTTTCTTTTTATTGATAAAGCACATTAAATACACATAAAAACAGGCAGGCAAACCGCACAAGCAGTGAACCTTAAAGCATAAAACAAAATATGAAAACAGAGAAAGGATATAAAAAAACAAAGAACAAAACAAGCATACAACAGAAAACATAAAATAAAAAACACAGAACGATATGGAACAAAACAACAATTACAAATCTAGGTACACAAGCTAGCCTGAAAGGCCACACAAGCAGGACAAATAGCAGATAGACATGATTTCATTACCGGAACACACAGGGACCGAGAAAGAACAAGAAATGACACCCATACATACAAACAAAACAAAACAATCACCGGAACGATCAGGAACCGTCAAACAAACACACACACACACACACACACCCAACAGCCTCAGAAACAATACAAGCAACAAAACACAAAACACAGACAGGACACAAACAGCACAGCACAACCAAAAAAATGCGTACGGAACACACATGCAAGCACACCGTCCAACAGGGCAAAACCTAACACGTAGACAAACACACACAGAACCGCAGACTTGGGAACAAAATCACAGACAGGGAGTACATAAACACAGGCACTATCGATACTTGTCCAGAAACTCCTGCGCCGGGAAGCGCAAGCAGTACGCATCCCAAACCATCTGGACGTCGTCGGGCACCGGTCGTCTAGGAGATGCACAAGGCCGAGGCATCCAATCAGGTACCACCATATATAAACCCCCTTCAATCTCAGTATCCAAATAGTTGACAAGAACCACGGGCCCGGACACACCCTGTCATCCCAAGTGGGGCCCAAACACTGCGACCGAGAGACCACGCCCTCATCGGCCGCGATCACAGGAGAGAGGTCTACACTAGGGAGTTTTACACTGGAATCCGCACAGGGAGGCGCTCCAGGCACTGCACAGGGAACCGCACAGCTAAGGCACCACACAGGGCACCGCATAGGGTACCACACAGGGCTTCGTACTGGCCTGTGCACGAGGCTTCTCACAAAGCAGCACACTGGGGGGACCCGCAGAGGACACAGACGCATCAGGGGCCCCCGCCACTGCAGGGCACAGGAGCAGAGGCACCCTGGCACACATCTTAAGACCACGACGAGGTCCCGCTCGGCAGGAGCAACCTCCCACCGTGGGGAGCCAACAGCAGTAGGCATAGAGGGCGACTCAGGAGGTAGCACAGAGTACCCCACAGCACCGCCACTCTCAGCGAGAGACGCTGGATCAACGTACTCCCCCACCTCCACCCAAGGCACACCACGAAGGGGGAGTCGTACTCGGGACCCGCCTCGAGCGCTTAGAGACAGGCTGCCGGTCGTCCGAGCTGTCACCCTCATCATTCCGTAACACATCAGAACTCTCCGACGGACGCACCTTCAAAGCCCGATCCCTGAGAACCGCAGCCTCCACGGTCGGGGGCACCAGACCTCACAATGCAGGAGACACCTCACCGCAGACATCCAAAAGGACAGGAGATGCAGCATGCAGGGACGGAGCAGGCAGGGGCGGCCTGGGGTGGCAGGGGGCAGGGACGTCGGAGGCGGGGTCGGAGGCGGGGAGCCGGTGGCGGGGGCGGGGCCGCCCCAAGCCCCACGTCAACATCCACACCACCACCCAACACCGGGGCAGAAACCGGCAGGGAATCAACACACGGTCCAGCATGTGGAGACTGGTCCGGGGCCGACAACGGGGGAAAATTCACCTCCTGGAAGAGGTTAACAGGGGTGACCTGGCGCTCATTACACCCTGCGGCCAGGTGGCCCGGTAGGCTGCACCTGAAATATGTCCGAGGTTGTCCCGCGTGAAAAACACGAATCGGGAACCCCAACATCATGATGGAGGACGGTACAGGATCCCGGAGGTGCATTGCGAGAGTGCGGGTCCCCACACAGGACCTCCTTCCAACTCCCGGTAGGGACGGCATTCATCCTCACATGTAGGACTCGCCCAAACCGGCCAAAGTATCGACGTAGGATCCTCAGGGAACTCAAAAGGCATTCCATGCACTGTCACATACGTCGTGGCTCCACAACGGTCTGAGAGGGTCACCGACCCACCATCTCCAGGAAGATCGAATGAGCGCTCATCATAGTGCATGACGAGTTCTTGATAAATCGCCGGCGAGCAAAACTTGACAATCGCCCGCGGTCCGGCAAGCAGTTGCACACCACACAGACTCCACTGGGACACGTAGCATATCAATCACCACCACCTTTACAGTGTGGTAGTTAGCAATCCCAGAGAACTCCAGGCCAATGGAGGCCTGCCTGGTGACAGGGGGCACAGGCCTCCCCATGATTGCAGACTGTCACGGCCCCAAGGGCCCTTCATCAGGAACACGGGACACAAGCCACGTCAGCAGCGACACCCAGGTCCTCACTCCTCGCCGGGTTGACAACTACAGTGGCCGGACGGAACAACCATACCCCACGACAGCCGGAGCAGTTCTCCCATTTCGCTTCCAGTAGATAAACGACATATCAGATTAAGACGCAAGTAGTGTATTGTGTAGACCAATAATAACAAACAGCAGTTCCCCCATGACCCTGTAATATCTCCATAGTCCAAACCATTATGCATTAGCAAAAAGACCTATCATTAATAAAAAATGATTAACTGTAAATAGATATATATATTGAAATAGAACAATCTAACTAGCTGATATTATAGTTATAAAGTGTGCAGGACAGCACACATGTAATTATTATTGTTTATGTAATAATCTCTTATTATAATCTCTGTTGGTAATATAATAATCCTTGTTATTATTGTCAATGTAATAATCTCTGTTGAGGTTTGATAAAGACCTTTTGTGCAATTTGTAATCCTCTTTTGCGCTACCGCTCACATCATGAATATGGGGTGCACAATAAACTAGCTGCCTCCGGTGGCAACAAGCAATCATTGACTGTTGGAGACAAGACACAAAGCAATGAACATTGAAATCAGAAGTTGGAGTTCAGGAAAACTTACAAAGAAACCACGAATATTTAATTGAAGAATAGACATGCTAAGCGTCATTTTATAAAAAGATAGTTTATAGTTACAAAACACGCGTCAGTTTATAATTAAAAATTAGGCTTCAGTTTATTTAAAAATGCATCAGTTTATAATTAAAAGAAGCATGCGTCAGTTTATATTAAAAACATTTTGAGTCGGTTTAAAACTAGAAAATGCATCAGTTTATAATTAAAAGAGCATGAGTCAGTTGTCATTGCTGAGGGTAGAATCCTGCAGTGTAGTAACCTCTTACGTTGTATCCATTCTCGTCATATATTGAATATCGATGACTTGGTCTGTAAGATTCACTGGAGTTGCTTAACAAGGAAGCTCTATACTTTATGACAGTGGAGTATTCTTGAGGTATACTGACGTTTTCTTTACAAGGTTGAGGAATATCACCATAGTGGAGCGAAAATGGGTCGGCCTTAGTAATGCTCGACTGGGTATTCTGGACTCTTGAGGTATAAGGCATGTACGTTTCCTTGGAGGAACGCCAAAGGCATCTGCGCCTAGAGGGATTTACTTCTATGGCTTCTGGCATCTGACAGTCAAGCCATTCTTCCTTTACTTGTCGATGTTTTTCTTCTTTATCCATTTCTTCACTTGAATACCATTTCACTTGGGTATTCTGGACTCCTGAGGTATAAGGCATGTACGTTTCCTTGGAGGAACGCCAAAGGCATCTGCGCTTGGAGGGATTCACTTCTATGGCATCTGGCATCTGACAGTCAAGCCATTCTTCCTTTACTTGTCGATGTTTTTCTTCTTTATCCATTTCTTCACTTGAATACCATTTCACTTGGGTATTCTGGACTCCTGAGGTATAAGGCATGTACGATTCCTTGGCGGAAGGCCAAAGGCATCTGCGCTTGGAGAGATTCACTTCTATGGCTTCTGGCATCTGACAGTCAAGCCATTCTTCCTTTACTTGTCGATGTTTTTCTTCTTTATCCCTTTCTTCACTTGAATACCATTTCACTTGGGTATTCTGGATTCCTGAGGTATAAGGCATGTACGATTCCTTGGCGGAAGGCCAAAGGCATCTGCGCTTGGAGGGATTCACTTCTATGGCTTCTGGCATCTGACAGTCAAGCCATTCTTCCTTTACTTGTCGATGTTTTTCTTCTTTATCCCTTTCTTCACTTGGATACCAAATCTTGTGAAAAGTTAAACAATTATTATTTTTTGCGGTACTACGGTACCACAAGAAATTTTCTTGCTTCGTTCTTCTACGGGACTTGATTGGTTCCATTCTAGGTGTAGAAGTAGGTTTAGAAAGATCATGGGCTTCTGGTATCCTGTAGTCCAGTATTTTCTCCTCTACTTGTCGACGCTTTTTATTTTCTTTATCACTTGAATACCAAATCTTCTGTAAAGTTGTAAAATTATTTTCCGACTGGTTTCTACGGTACTCGCTTGATTCCATTCTATGGGAAGTTGAACCGTCTGGATATGTTTAGTCTGTGGAAGGTGACCTGAAGATTAATTATTTAAAACTGAAAATTGTAAAGTTGTAACCTAATCTCTCCTGTTACATTTAGTTTTAATAAGACTGCAAAGTGACTATTGACTCAGACGAGGAAGCTCATACCTATATCACACCAAACTCATTTATGTATTAGCCTACGTAGCATATGTATGGGGCAAGTAACAAAAGTACAACCCGTTCTCGCAAATTCGTAAAGTCAATATTGACTTATTAACTACGTGCATAGGTGATATACTAAACATAATAGATACCCTTAAAAAGATTCATAGAAAACACCGACCTTACCTAACCTTGTTAGTATCTTAAGATAAGCATCTTATTGCTTCATAATTACAATTATTACTTAACCTATACCTATTATAGGTTAGGTAATAATTGTAATTACGAAGCTATAAGATGCTTATCTTAAGATACTAACAAGGTTAGGTAAGGTCGGTGTTTTCTATGAATCTTTTTAAGGGTATCTATTATGTTAAGTATGTCACCTATGCACATATTTAATAAGTCAATATTGACTTATTAAATTTGCGAGAACGGGTTGCAAAAGTAGCAGCAAGTCATCCAAAGTAAATTTATATAATTTGTTCCATAAATTGACAGGGTCCCGATATTACAGTCGGGTTCGTTCTCGACTCGCAATCGTGAATTCAGGATTCGAATCCCATGCGGGACAGAAATGGTTGGGCGCATTTGCTATCCCCTAATGCCTCTGTTCACTTCGCAGTAAATATGTACCCAGGAGTTAGTCGGCTTGTTATGGAGTTGAATCCTGGGGAGAGTCAGTAATTCGACCCCTGGCAACCTCGACATAAGCCTAACGTATATATACACTGGCTGCCTGTCCCCCAAAACAATGTATTATTATTGTTATTATTAATATTATTATTATTATTAACCCTCTTTTAAAACTGGCATTTTATCAGCACTGTTTTGACGATCTTACCTTTTGCTAAGATCTTACCCTAGTTCTCTACAACTAAGACTTGTGCTATGCACAAGTCTAAGTTGTAGAAACTTGAAGCCATGATTGGTGACCCAGGACGACACTGCATCAATCGCTAGTTGAAGCCGCCACTGGAGGAAAGGCGGATCAACACCATGACAACAGAGAGTAAGATCGTCAACATAGAGCTGAGAAAATGACAAGAGGTAAGGAAGGAAAGAATACTATTGAGAGCAACCGAGCAACCAGGAAAGAGAGCAGTACTCAGAACACTACCTTGGGGGTACTACCTCGTAGTGTCGAAAAGAGGCCGATAACGCGGTACCAAGCCTCGCTCTAAAGGAACGACTAGAGAGGAAGCGTTGGAGGAAGAGAGGGAGATTACCATGAAGGCCAAAATAACGGAGCTAGGACAGAATATGGTATGTCCAGGCGGTATCATACACCTTTTCCAGGTTTAAGATCAGAAAGAGAAAGCAGGACATTACGGGGAGAAATGAAACTGACTGTATACCATTAATCACAAAGATACGGGCCGCATAACACTGAATATGCAACTGAAAAAGTAGGGGAACGTAGGTACTATCATGATGGATCAGGAGAGCAGTAGTGTTATGGGTCCCAGCAAGAGCAGGAGTGGGGGAAAAGAAAGGAATAACCACGGAAGTGACCAGGACGAGTGCTAACTATCGGCGTCTGGAGACAGACACAAAGTGGTTAAAACTGCATGATAAGAAGTTGGAGTTCATGGAAGTTGGCATAAAAACAACGAATATTCAATTGAAGAATAGACATTGTCAAAAACAGAGGTAACAGAAACAGAGATAAGGAAGAAACAAGGGCAAACAACGCAGACTAAGATAGATCAGGATCAGTGAAATCGAGGTTACGAGGTATATGCAAATCTAGTAAAGACAATGGAGTCAAGAGAGCGGAAGGATGGACCAGAGGTGGACTGACAGGCCTGAGTGGGAGGAGTCATTGAGGAAGGGCGGTCAAGGGAATCAAAGGAAGGAAGGACAAACAGGGGAGTGCACTGGAGCAAGAACAGCATCCGAGAGAGACTCAGGGACCTCAATAGCTGCGACAGGCGACTCCGGCACTGAACTGGGAGGGGATACAGAGACAGATTCGGAGGGTGAGGAATAAAGCGATGCCGTCTTACCCACCAGGGAGGAAGAAGGAGAGGAGCAGAGTTTACATTTCTCACGCAGAGAGACAAGCATATCAACAGCAATGTACTGGGCGACAGCCTCTACAGTCTCAAGAGGAGAAAGAGAATGAGAGCTAACAACACGAAGATTGCCGGGAGGAGGATGGACAACGGCCTGGACAGAAAGGCGTTGTAGAGGGCCAAAAGACAGAGAGAAGGGCTGAAAAGGAGGATTGGGGTGAAAAGGAAAGGGGGGCACAGGAGACAGGGAAGACTGTGAAGGAAGGAAAGATACTCCAAACGGAGAACCAGGAGGAAGACCCTCTGGACCTCTCTCCTATGCCCAGAAAGCATAGGAGCAGGCGAGGTGGTGGTAAAAGTGTTGGAGTCTATGGCCTGGAAACAGTTGAGAAACTGAGAAAATGGGAGAGGGCGAGGAGAAGTGGATCGCAACACACGAGCGTAAGACATGCCAGAGGAAGAGGGAAGATGGCAAACCTGGCGTCACGCCTCAGGAAAAGATATACGATCGTAATTTTTTCAAATTGAGAATGGCTTCCTCAAAATTGTAGTGCACATATGCGCAGAAGAAAAGATGGGCGTCACCGCAATTGATGCAGTGAGCTTGGGTAGAGGAGCACTCCGTCTTAAAATGACCAGAATGTTCACATAAGGGGGGATACACACCCCTCACTTGTGCACTTGAAGGGACCATGCCCAAATCTCCAGCACATCTTCTGTGCCAGGTATGTACGACGGGCTCACCAAAGCCCGTTCTGCTTGAAACTTTTTGTTCCGAGAAGCTGAATCTAGAAGAAGATCATCTCCAGCAGCTATTGCAGAGGCGAGGAGAGGGGATGTACTCCTGAACAGAGCATCTGGCACCAGCAAGAATTACGGAAGATGTAAGGGACCTACTATAAAAAGTGATCTTAACTATGGGAAGAGGCTGACGACGACCACCACGAGAGGGTCGCGTGAATATATCAATCTGGACAGAATGACCTTGGGCCTCGAGAATATGTTTTATTTCCTCGAAGCAGTCTTACAGTTCCCTATCACCAGTCGCAACATGGTACGACAGAATAACTGTGCCAATGCTGCCAAATGCTGGCATTTAACCTGACATTATTGGAGATTCGAACAGAGGGGTCTCTAATGCAGGACAACGAAGCGAAGCAGTCAGCCGCTTCCTGAGATTTCGTGCAATGACACATGTACCAGTAAGGGTGGGGGTTGAAAGTGACAAAGGTATCCACGGAATCAACTAGGTATTTATGGAGGAATAAATAGTCAAGACGTGTAGGATAAAGATGAGAGCAAAATACTTAGTCCACTTAGCAGGACCAAACAAATCTTGGAATGTATTAGATCGGGAAGGAATCGTGTACATACAAGTGCGGAGGTGACGGCCCGGAGCACCTACAGTAGGGGGATGGGGGGGGGGGGGAGTTATCTCACATCCAGAGGAGGAGAATTCTCCTCTGCTTAATTCCATCCTCTACGCATCCCTCTCTCCATTTCTCTCAGCTTCCCTCCCTCCCTCCCTCCCTCCCTCCCTCCCATTCTTTCAACTTGCCTGCCTGCCTGCCGTTCTCTCAGCTTACCACTCATTCACATTCAACTTCCCTCCCCCCCACATTCTCTCAACTTCTCTCCCGCCCACATTCTCTCAACTTCCCTCCCCCCCACATTCTCTCAACTTCTCTCCCGCCCACATTCTCTCAACTTCCCTCCCCCCCACATTCTCTCAACTTCTCTCCCCCCCCACATTCTCTCAACTTCTCTCCCCCCACATTCTCTCAACTTCTCTCCCCCCCCACATTCTCTCAACTTCCCTCCCTCCATCCCTCCCTCCCCCCCCCCTCATTCTCTCAACTTCCCTCCCTCCTTCAGTCTCTCAGTTTACTGCCCTCCCATTCTCTCACCTTCCCTCACTCGATCACATTCTCTCAACTTCCCTTCCTTTCGAGGGTTGCATGGCACTCCCGAGACCTCTGTTTGCCTTATGTGTCTAAAAAATTTAGATTCAGGAGTGAGCAGCAATATTGGCAAATTTGTAGACAATGCAAACTTTGGAAAGGATATGTATATTATATTATATTAATATATATATATATATATGTTATGTGTGTATATCACGAAAGTAAACACGTGATTAAAAATGTGACAATGTCAGACCACGGAGGAAAAATGAAACAGGAATTTCCTTAAGTACTTTCGTATATTAATACATCTTCTGAAGATGTATTAATATACGAAAGTACTTAAGGAAATTCCTGTTTCATTTTTCCTCCGTGGTCTGACATTGTTATATATATATATATATATATATATATATATATATATATATATATATATATATATATATATATATATATATATATATATTCGAAATAAGGTAAATACGATACTGGGGTTTAATTCTAAAAACGTTAACAATGAAACCATTCTTCAGCTATTCCTAGCGCTTGTTAGGCCTTCATTTAGATTATGCAGTTCAGTTTTGGTCAGAGTTCAGTGAAGAATGAAATAAATTTAGGAATTTTAAACCTTCCACATGAGGAGAGGGGAAGAGGAAGGTGGGAGACAGAGACTGGCGTGAGAGACGAAAGGAGAGCAGGGAGAGGGAAGGGGGTTACTGAGGGAGTGTGTTGAGGAAGGGGGGGGGTGAAGAGAGGAGTGGGAGGGGCGGGGGGAGGGGGGGGTGTTAAGAGAGGAGTGGGAGGGGGGTACAGGGACCACAGTGCAGCCTGGTACCCGCTCCAGGTTATTGTTTGGACAAACTCACAAACTAATACTTTGGTCGGGTCTCACTCTTGGTTTAATTTTCAGTAATGGTTTAAATAACTTTCAGAAAAAAATGGAAATTTAGAATTCAAAGAAAGGGGCAATATCCTTTCCTAACTACCAGACCTTCAACTTGGCCATTCAATCAGAAGTTATCCAACAAGAAGGGACAACGAGTACAACACAACACGACAACAGTATACTTAATGTAGTGATGAAGACCACAAGTCTTCTGTTATACGGATCACAAAATACAACCGCTCACAAAAAAAAGAGTGTCCTCGGGCAGCACTTTCACTCCACTACACCAGCAGTCCCTCTCTCACTCGCCCAACCCGTCCTCGACTCAAGTCCATTACATCCAGCGGTCAACCCCACAGACGCATTCATAAATTTTTACATGCTGTTCATTCAAAACGGGATTTTTTTTCAAATATAAATTAATATTAGTATATATTAGCATATTGTGCAAATATAGCCATAGGTTAGGTTAGGTGTTTAAGTTCTGTTGGCGATTATTTATATTTGTAGTACGTGGGTGAAACATTTATAGCGTTGTGATTCGAACAAAATTCGTCAGTGAAGCACTTGTTCCGGATATGTTCGAACGTCAGCAGTTGAGAGTCGTGTGTAAACCGCTTTTCATTCATAAACAGGGGGTTTGGCGGGTGCATGGAATCACTTTTGGATCTTTGTTTGGAGGACGGGCTGTACATTCAGCGGTCGACCCCACAGACGCATTCATAAATTTTAACATGCTGTTCATTCAAAACGAGAATTTTCTCAAGTATAAACTAATATTATAATACATTAGTATATTGTGCATATATAGGCATAGGTTAGTTTAGGTTCTGTTGGCAATTATTTGAATTTGTAGTACGTGGGTGAAGCATTTATAGCGATGTGGTTCGAACAAAATTCGTCAATGAAGCACTTGTTCCGGATATGTTCGAACGTCAGCAGTTGTGAGTCGTGTGTAAACCGCTTTTCATTCATAAACAGGGGGTTTGGCAGGTGCATGGAATCACTTTTGGATCTTTGTTTGGAGGACGGGCTGTTTATAGCGTTGTGATTCGAACAAAATTCGTCAGTGAAGCACTTGTTCCGGATATGTTCGAACGGTGTAAACCACCCATTCGAACTGGGTGGTTTGCAGCCCGTCCTCCAAACAAAGATCAAAAAGTGATTCCATGCACCCGCCAAACCCCCTGTTTATGAATGAAAAGCGGTTTACACACGACTCACAACTGCTGACGTTCGAACATATCCGGAACAAGTGCTTCACTGACGAATTTTGTTCGAACCACAACGCTATAAATGCTTCACCCACGTACTACAAATACAAATAATCGCCAACAGAACCTAAACACCTAACCTAACCTATCCTATGCCTATATATACACAATATGCTAATATAGTATAATATTAATTTATACTTGAGAAAATTCCCGTTTTGAGTGAACAGTATGTTAAAATTTATGAATGCGTCTGTGGGGTTGACCGCTGAATGTAATGGACTTGAGTCGAGGACGGGTTGGGGGTTTGGTGGGTGCATGGAATCACATTTGGGTCTTTGTTTGAGGACGGGCTGCACTCCACAACACCAGCTGTCTCCCTCTCTCTCACTCGCCACTTGTCCATCGAACACGTTCCAACACTACTCCCAAAGTTTCGTAAATAACCCCTAATACTAGTTCACACGGCTCTCATATTTTTTTTTAAGATCAATATAAATCAAGTCACAAAATTTATGTTGATAAGTTTCTTTACGATAATCAGGCAATATATATATATATATATATATATATATATATATATATATATATATATATATATAATATATATATATATATATATGCTGTTCATTCAAAACGGGATTTTTTTCAAATATAAATTATAAATCTTTATATATTTCTTAATATAAAATAATATAAATATAATATAAATCTTAATATATTAATAATAAAATTTAATATCTTAATAAATTATAAATATAAAAAATAAATATATAAAAAACCAATATAAAAATATAAATCACCAGGAAGCGGCCAAGTCACGTAAATAACGTTTCTATTAACTATAGAAGTTAATAGGTTAATAGAAACGTTATCCCTACAGACACAAATCAGAGGATACAACTGACGATTTACTATAAAACCAGAAAAACGGCCAGCCTACTCATGAGAAACTCTCCAGACACAAAGCAGAACGCTTTAAAAGAGACCAACGTCGTCTATGCCTTCAAATGCCCACTTACTGTAAGCTCCAAAAAACCCAGTATATAGGCAAGACAACAACATCTCTTTCTAGGCGTTTAACGATGCATAAGCAACAGGCTCCATTAAGGAACATATAATCTCTTCCCACAACCAAACCATCGCCAGAGAAATCCTAGTAAACAACACAGAAATCATCGATAGATACAGCGATAGCAGACGGCTTGACGTTTGCGAGGCACTGCACATTAAGAAGTCAACACCAGCAATCAACAGCCAATTAATGCACAAACTATATTCTACCCACCTCAAGACTCCGCTCCAATATAGAAGCATCAAGAAATATGGACCAATAGGCTTTCTACAAACACTTCCATTTCAATACCCATTGTTTCGTGTTCTGTCTTGTGTTGATGAAATTAATACCCTATTAAATATATATATATATATATATATATATATATATATATATATATATATATATATATATATATATATATATATAAATGGAAATGTTCGTTTGTTCAAAATCGCTAATCTCCGAAAGTTCCTAACCGATTGCTTTGAAATTTTCACACAACGTTCCATTCGCATCCGAGCAGGTTTTTATATTCATACTATATAGATGTCACGTCTGTATGGTAAAAAAAAAACATGTTTTCTGAAAAACTGTGTTGTTCATGTGTTTTTCATGTGAGAGAAATCAAAAAAAACCTCTTAACCGATTGCTTTGAAATTTTGACACAACGTTGCATTCGAATAGGTGTGTCTTTGTATATATTTGCTATATACATGCCTCACTTGTGACAGGAAAAAAACATGCTTCTTTGAAAAACAGCGCCATCTGTAGGACGTAAGGGCAACACACGCTGTAATTTCCAAAAGTTCGTCACCAATTTCTTTGAAATTTTGATACAACGTTGCATTCGAATAGGCGCATCTTTTTATATACCTACTATATAGATGCCACCCCTGTGACAGATAAAAACATGCGTGTTTGGAAACTGGCGCCATCTGTTGCGCATAATGGCAACATGCACATTATACTAAATATGTCACGATTTCCATTTCAATGTTTCCGATTGCATTGATAAATTATATTTTCCTAGATTTCGATTTATTTTATTTTTTAGTGAATTATTTTGTGTGACATTGTGTTGGAACTGAGCTGTGTTGTTAACCATACCGTTCATTTCTTAAGTATAAGTATAGATGCCACACCTGTGACAGGAAAAGCTATGAAGACCAGACCACACATTAGAATGTGAAGGGACGACGACGTCCAGGACGGATCGAAACGTCGTCGTCCCTTCACATTCTAGTGTGTGGTCTGGTCTTTATACTTTAGCCACGTTATTGTGACTCATCACCTGCACAGGTAAAACTATGCTTTTCTTGAAAAACAGGACCATCTGTTGCATGTAAGAGCAACACACATGCTATACTAGATATGTTACAATTTCATTTCAATGCTTCTGATTGCATTCATAAATTGAATTTTATTGATTTTGATTTAATTATTTTGTGTGAATTGCATTGGAATTGAGTTGTGTTCTTTACCAGACCGTTCATTTCGTGAGTATGCTTCATTTTTATTTTGTTTTCATATTTGCAATTCATTTTTTAACTGTTTTTCTTATATTTCAGTGATGGGAACATCAGATCACTTGATGTTCCCAATTTTCTGATTGGAACAGTAGACCATTTGGGAAGGCATCGGACGAGGGAGTGGGGAATGGTGGGGATGACGGGGAGACAAGGGAGGAGGTAATGGTGAGGAAGGACTAGGAGACGGGAGAGTTTGGGATGGTGGGGACGAGGGGAAGGGGAAATGGAGAATGGTGGGGAGGACAAAGTGACCGGGGAGTGGGGCATAGTGAAAAGGAAGAGGGAATGGTTTAGTGGGGAATGATGGGGAGGACGATTGGACGGAAGTGAGAGATGGTGGGGAGGACGAGGGGACAAGGGAGGGGGTAATGGTGGGGAAGGACGAGGGGACGGGGGAGTTTGGGATGGTGGGGACGAGGGGGATGGGGGAATGGGGAATGGTGAGGAGGACAAGTGGACAGGAAAGGTTGCTGTGGCTCAGGAATGCACATATGTTGCTGAGCCACAGCAACGCGTGGCTGGGTACTGCTAGTATATATATATATATATATATATATATATATATATATATATATATATATATATATATATATATATATATATATATATAATATATATATATATATTGTGACAATAATCTCTTTCAAGAGAGATTGAGCCTGCTCTTTCCTACTTTAAGTTACGCCAAAGACACAAGTATAAGATGCTACATTCACGATACGTCACCAGTAGCACAAAACGTTTTGACCAGGAGGCAAAACGTATCCAAGATCCCCCCACTCCACACACCCTCCTCACGCCGGCTCGTCATCAAACCAGCTAACTACCCTTCACCAGCTTGCCTGTCTAATTGGTGACTCGCCAGCCGCGCACCTGCACACAGCACCCTCTACATGAATCGACGTCTGAGCCTGACCAGCTATCCACGTCAGAATATTCCTTGTGCTCTTACGGTTGACATCTCTCTCTGGCATAATAGCTCATTAGCTCGTATACGAAGGGAGGTTTCAGCCATAGCCGATATTCTCAGCACCATTTTAACATTGTAATTTTGCATTTCACATTGTCTTTGCATTTTCTTTATTTAACTGTAATTAACCTTCCAGAGATTTGTCTTTATTTTCATTTATGTTTAAAGTAAATATATTAGTTTCATTGTTCATATTTTGTGTTTTACGTGTTCCTCCCTCTAACTTACCAGAGACAACAGACAAGCAGTCTATATTTTTGTTTAAAGTGTGACCAGGCTTTGACACCTGCCATTGGAGAACTGCCGAACATCAACACTCCAACACTTTCCTGTCACATTTTAATGGGGGCCTGTCCTATATATATATATATATATATATATATATATATATATATATATATATATATATATATATATATATATATATATATATATAATATGTTGTAGCCAGAATGCAGTACTCGACCTACTATGCAAAGCCCGATTTGCCTAATTAGCCAAGTTTCCTGAATTGTTATATTTTTCATTTTTTTTTCTTGTGGAATGATAAAGCT